ATCTGGCTTTCCTGGTCCCACATTCCCACATGACAGTCGTTAACCTGGGTTAAGAATAGTGGTGTCCATTTTAGGAGAGGCATGTGTCCTCTTCAGTCCTTTAGGACAGCTGTGGGCCCCTGGAAGCATGAGTAGAAAGTACTCCTTATTGAAGTTACCTTCTACCTGAATATTAGGCAAGCAGTTTGTAGATTGGCAATATTAACTTTCAGAATTTTTCAATATCAGTTTTCTCTTGAAAGTAAATTATCTCTTAAGATTTACTGATGGCCTCATGGGTAATTCATTTATGTGGCCATGAGGAGAGAAGAGCCAATATCCCAGTAGTGAATTTGGCAATACACTGGAGCTCACGTTGTCTTACCTCTAGTTGTAGTAACAAAAAAAGGTGGCGCTTTTCAGCAATTGAGTTTTCTACGTGTGGAACTATTTGCATTGCAGATGCATCAAACTGCAGTTGGGTGGAGAGGCAGCACAGGCAGAAGCGTGGGCCTGGCTAGCAGCCAATCAGCTCTCATCAGTCATCACTACGAAGGAATCCAGGTACAGCCCTGGTGTTTCTCCTTCTTCCCTGGGACCCCCCGATTAACCTGATTCTCAGAATCCTTCTCTGACAACTTTAACCCTCAGTAGACTTTCCTTCCTTGAAATGCCTCTACAATTTGTATTATGCAGCTTACCACTTTATAATTGGAACATTTTACAACTTAGAAGTCTTTTAACTCCTAAATTAGCATACCAGAATCACTAGTAAAATACAGACTATGAGATAATGCCCTACCCTTCTAAATCAGAACTTCTGTACGACTGTAATGCTTGATCATGTTTGGCAACAGTAGTCTAAGCTATTGTTCTTATTTTAGAAATTTGAAACAAAGAAGTTAAGTGAATTGTATAGTCAAGTAAATACATGAATAGTGGGAAAGGAAATGAAAAATCCAAGTCATCTATTTTCTAATGCTACCCTGAAGTCACATTGGCCCTAATAACATTAGGTACCTTGTAGCTATATTACTAATTTACTTGTGAGCTTCCAAAGACTTTTTTCCTTGTAAGTACATTCTTTGAATCATACTATAAATATCTGTTAAGAATCTGGAACTCAATAGTTCTTTCTGCTTTCATCAAGTGCTACAGATGAAGCATGGCGACTGTTATCTACGTACCTGGAAAGGTACAAAGTCCAGAATAACTTATACCACCACTGTGTCATCAACAAACTCTTGTCTCATGGAGTACCTCTGCCTAATTGGCTTATAAACAGTTATAAGGTAAGGGTATCTTCACTTGCAAGGAGTAAGAAGCTGATCTTTATCATTCTGAGTAACTTCACATGATTTTAAGAAGAATAATAATTTATGGAAATATTCTAACTTACAGACTTCGGTCAGCTTCTCAGCCTTAGCTAAAAACAATTTCATTTCAGTTCCACATAAGGTACTGAGTGCTTAAAGTTTTGCAGGGTAGTGATTAAGTTAATGCCTGCTCTTGTGCTCACTGAACAATGAGTGGATACTTAGAACAATGACTCCTATGGATGACGTGGTATTTACTATTCACTGCTCAGAAAGTTCACAGGAGTGGGTGAGGTAGTTTTCAAATTACCACAGCAGTGTTTCTTTTTGCTTTTGTCAAAATTGGGTTTTTGGACAACCTGCATCAGAATTATTTGGGTAGTGGGCTTCTTCAAAATATAGATTCCTGGGCCCCATCAGAGACTTACAGAATCAAATTATCTGGAGTTAGGAACCAGGAGCTATATTTTAACAAGCTTCTAAAGGTATCTGAAATACCTTGGAAGAATAGGGAAAGAGAGAAAGTAAAGCTTAAAGTCCAGAAAATTGATCCCTTTTTTTTTTTTTTTTTTTTAAAGTCAGAAGGTAAAGAAGGCAGCTAAGATGGTAAGGTTGGTTGTAATCCAGTCAGAATGCAGAAAGCATAATTAATGTAAGCAGAGCCCTTCCACACTGAGGCTGTATCCACCTTTCTCTCACCCTAAGCTAAATACAAATTTAATTCAGGCTTTTAAAGTTGGTGATTCTTTTAACTTCTTTTACATTTGTCATTCATTTATTTCTGAGAATTGACATAAATATATTGTCTTTTAAGTTCTCAGCATTTCTGGGTAGGTTCGTTGTCTATTATTACTCTGAAAACAAGTAGAAAAGAAATAAAATGTATCTTACATCACAAAACAGGGGAGGAAGACCACTTAACAGATAGGGCCTCACAAGGTTCCAGAGGGTAACTGGGCTGTTGGGAATCCAAACCTTAAACCAAGGTGCTCATTTATTCATACTGACAAGTATAAGTGTCAGGAAATCAGACACTCAACATCCTTTGGTCTTTGCCTGGGTAAGATGGAATCTGATAGATGTTCATAATCACTGACTCTCTACAGAAGGTTGATGCTGCCGAGTTGCTCCGTCTGTACTTAAATTATGACCTTTTGGAAGAAGCTGTGGATTTGGTTTCAGAATACGTGGATGCTGTTCTGGGAAAAGGACACCAGTACTTTGGAATTGAGGTTAGCATGTATACACATTTCATTTCATTCTGTATTATCACACTAAGTAAAACCAGGACCTGACAATAAAGTGAACTATAGAATAGTGGATTTACCCTTTACTGTTAGTAGTTATGCAACGGCTTTAGTTATTATTTGGAGGAAGGAGGTAAATAAGAACAAAATGGTATTTTGTGTGTGCCCAGGACTATGCTGCATCTCTACCAGTGTTTTCTCATTTAATCCTTGTAGCAGCCTATAAGGGATTTTTTTTTCCCTTTTTTTAACCCATAAGGAAAAAAGGCTCAGAGGTTAACTCGAAGTTGCCCGAGTTCACGCAGATGGTACATGGACGAGCCATATCTAAAATTCAAGCCTAGTTAATTAACCACAGAGCCAAGCTCCTAAACTCTCAGGAACATATTCAGAACTTTGAAAGTTAAGCTTTTCCTTTTCCAAATCTTCTTTTTCCTCCCCTAGATAATTTGAATCTAAATTTCAGACTGGAAATAATATCATTCCTTGAAAATTTAGAGAAGTTTTATTGAGTATTTTTATCCTTAATGGATAAATTTAGAAGCCTTAGGGTTTAAGAGGTGACATGAATTTAAAAATGCATTTGATTTAATTGAAAAAAGGACAAGTCCCCCAGTTGGAAGGGGGGAGGAGTCCAATTCGTGTGTGTGCACACGTATACATGCAGTTTCTTATTGTGAAAAAAAATAAGCCTTTTAATGTTATCAGTGCTTGTGAAAGGAACTCTCCACTTTTCTGATTTTCTTTAAATAACAGATATTTTTCTTTTCAGTTTCCACTGTCTGCAACTGCTCCAATGGTGTGGCTCCCATACTCTTCCATTGATCAGCTTCTCCAGGTGCTGGGAGAGAACAGTGCCAACAGCCACAACATTGCGGTGAGTCCGTCCTTTCATCTCTATGCCCCTGCACTTGCAGTTCCACCTGACAGCTGGCTCGCCAATTCTCCAGGAGTAAGGGGAGGGCAGAAGCCATGTATTGCCCTTAATTTGCTGCCCCAATCCCTGCATAAAATGACTTGTTAAGTCAGATATAGCTCCTCTGGTTCTGGGAAGAGAGGTGGTAATGCTTTTCTTGAAAATACTACTGTGGTTTGCAAATTTAGAAAATTCATTAGGCAAACAGGATTGGAGAATTATTTATGAGACGTCCAGTTTTATCAGTAACATCACAAAGCAGACTCCTATACTGAATAATGATTAAATGAAGCAGAGTGGCCAACATCTTTATTAGGGGGAGTCTGGTTGGTGAAGTCAAAAGTGACTAATAGCCTCAGTCTTTTTCCATACTTGACATATTCTGTAATGATTTCCTTCTTGTCTCTACAGCTGTCCCAGAAAATACTCGACAAATTGGAGGACTACCAGCAAAAAGTTGATAAAGCAACCCGAGATTTATTATATCGTCGGAACTTGTGATCCAGATGGTTGCCTAGCCTTTGTAACCGCTTGGTGCCTCTTAGGGCTTAAGACTTTATTCTACAGGAACGCTGTACTCCGGGCTGATTCTTATACCTGTAAATGATGTGTACAACATTCAGTCTGCATTCCGCGCCAGAGGAGGAGGGCAGATGAGTCACAGTACCTGTGCTTGCTGGCGGTGCTAACACACAATTTCCGGTTTCAACCTTCGTCTCAAACAGCTGCTTTTGTATATGATTCACAAGCTTTTTTAGAGTTTATATTTTTTTAAACTACCGAAGACATTCTTTATCTGCAAATTAAAACCCACCTTCACTTTCCACAATGGGTGATGGTGGTTGGTTTGTTGTAGCTGACCCCCAAATGCAGTCACTGTACATTCTTTCATTCTCCCCTCTCGCTTTTTGTATTTCGATGGAATTATTTTGGTCCAGAATTGACATGTATTTTCTGTATTGCAGAGGCTAATGATTTTACGTACTCTTTCCATTATTTATTGTGGAGTTTTTGTATGATCTTCAATAAAGTATTAAATAACTTACCTAAATTAAGCCTGAACAAAAAGACCAGCTGTCAAAGAAGATACCTTATTTTAAATCTGGTTCTGAAGCTAAAGTTGAATAAACTTAGCTAAGAAAAAATTAGGAATCCGTCATCTATAAAAGTCACAGAGTTTCAAAGCAAATTGTTAACTTCTATGATTTATGATAATCAAGCCGGACTTAATCATACAGTTAGTCTAATAGTGTAAACTTTCCTGGTCAGATTTAAAAGCATTCATACCCACAAATTTGGGGAAAGTGAAAAATAAAATCTTGCATTTTATCCTGTATATTAAAGTTTATCTTTTAAGGAAAAAATCTATATTATTTGCTCATATGCCCTTTGACCTTTCTTGAGTTTTTTGCTTGTTTGTTTTAGAGAATTTTTATGCATTTACTTGAGCCAAGCTGATGATACATGCTGGGGTGCATGACCTCAAGTGCTCCTTGAGTTTTTCATAAGCCTTTAATTTTTATACTATCAACACCATATGTAGTGCTTGCTTTGGTGGCACATATACTAAAATTGGAACAATACAGAGAAGATGAGCATGACCCCTGTACAAGGAAGACAGGCAGATTTCATGAAGTGTTCCATGTTTTTTAAAAAAAAACAAAACACTCACCTGGTCATTCAGTTGGTTAGAACAGCAGTCTACAACATTTTTAGCACTCCCTAGGAACCTGTTTCCTGGAAGGCAATTTTTCCACAGACTAAGGGGGTGGAGGTAGTGGAGACAGGAGGTGGAGCTCAAGCAGTAATGGGAGTGGAGATTCGTTGGCCCACTGCTCACCTCCTGCTGTGCTGCTGGATTCCTAACATGCCAGGTGAGGGGAGGGAACCCTGGATTAGAGCGTATCCCGATAGGCTAACATACAAGAAGCAACTAATAAATATATAAATAAGTAGAAAAACAAATTGATGCTTCTGCCTCCCTCTCTAAATTTTTTTTAACACCATATTTACATTATATATTGGAGAGTCATTGTCCTCCCAGTGTTATAAACCTGTGGCTCCCAACTGCGGCAAGAAATATTTTTTGACCCATTGTATATACACATTTATAAGCAAAAGATTTCACAAAATACGTATCCTCTTTTATTATGGTCCCCGATGTTTCCATGAGTGACTAATGGGTCAATCTGAGGCTTCAGAAGTAGGGGATAATGATATCTACCCCATAAGGCTGTGAGAATTAAATGCAATCCTACATGTAAAGCACTTAGTGCCCGACATATAAATTCTGGATGAATATTAGATATTAGTATGCTTAGTAAGAACTGAGAAGCCAGGAGTATAAAAATAAATACTACTGGATTTCTTAAACTCAGTTTAGAAGGGGTAAACAAGTACTAACGACGTATATATAGTCGTTATATACAAGTATATATACTTGACATATATAAACGTCAAGTGCTGGAGAGCGTTAATGCCTGCACTGGATCTTGAGGAATTTTTTAAAAATCGCTGTGGTGCGGTAGTTATTCAAGACTGTGAAGGACTGAGGGTGAGATGACGTTCCAAGCAGCTGGCTCCAGAAGAGAGGGTGAGGGCGGACCCAGGGCAAGGGAGAGGAAGAGTGCTCAAGGAAGCTGCATAAAGCAGGTTGAGGCTACCAGTGGGCCAGATTGGGTAAGATCTGGTATCCCACCGCCACAATTTGGGCTTCTACCTCGTAAGCAGTATAATTTCCAGTGATTTATTGTCCAGTTGACAAGCAACACACTATTAAGACATCATCTTTGTGCTCTAAGAAAAATATTAACGCATAAAAAAGCCACTGTTATATTTACTCTTCAATGGTATACCCAAATTAATCCACGATAATCAGGGAGAAACTTGGGGAAAGCCCTGGAAAGCACCACATCTTCGTAAAGGACAAATGACAACGAACAGTAAGCAGAGAACAGGCACAATATGGAGGACAAGGGGGTAAAGAAAAGACTCTGCAAAAGACGCAAGGGTGGAGCCCAAGGTGCTGGGGAATCTAAACTCAGGCCCTTCCGTACTATTGGCTCTCTTTCTTTCCCTTTTCATTGGTTACCGGCCCCTTCAATGGGCCAAAATAGCCAATTGCTTAGCGCTATGGGTAAAGCCCGCCCTTCCCCTCGGGGGTTTAGGAGCCAGAAGAACCTCCAGGACCCAATGCGCTTGCGCGGGCGCGCGCTCCGCCGTTAAAGTCTAGTCCTTGCAGGAGGCGGGGTCGCGGGGTATGAATATTGATTACGCAGCGCCGCGCCGAGCGCCGCCCTTCTCGGCTTCCTGACGCTCGCAGCTCGCGCTTGGGCTCGCGATGGGGAAGAAGTCCAGGGCGGTACCCGGCCGTAGGCCTATCCTGCAGCTCTCTCCGCCGGGTCCTCGGAGCAGCACGCCGAGCCGGGACCCGGAGCCGGAACTCGACAGCGAGCCGGACTCGGCGACGACAACTCCCAGCCAGCCAGCCCCGGCGGCGACACCCAGCCAGCCAACCCCGGCGGCGCCGCAGCCGCAGCCGACCGTGGTGATTGCCGCGGTCGCCCCAGAGGACTCGCCTTCAGAAGGTAAGGGTGCGGGAGTGGCCCCGGCCCTTAGGTGTGGCATCCGAAACTCGAGCTCGGGGCTTGCGGCCTAGCCTCTCGGGCAGGGCCCTGGCAGGAGGAGAAACCCGGGCGGGCGGCGTCCGCATCCGAGGCCTGCTGCGTGGGGCCTTTGGGGAGGACGGCTGCAGGCCTCAAGGCGACGGAAGGGGCCGCGGAGCCGTGTGCGCGGGTCCCTGAGGCGCCATCTCTCCTACAGGGGTTGGCCCGGCACCCTGAGCCTCGTTAATGTCCGCGCTCGTTTTTTGATAACTTACCGGGTGGATGGGGGAGTATGCGTTTCAGCGTCCACGGCTTGGTGACGGTGGAACCTGGCGTTTTCTACACGTCATTTGCTTTTCTCTTCGTTTTGGGTGAAACCGAGAGAGACTGAAGTGGGCAAGGCCTTTTTACAATATATGTCATCCAAAGCTTCGGTAACCCCCTAATTGACAGGTATCCTAAAGATTTTTGAACAAGTGAGGTTTTCGGGTTCCCAAGTACAATACTTATGTTTCTTCCCGGACTGGTACTTGGATTCAGAGTAACTAATAGGATTGTCTAACCACTATGCTGTACACCTGAAACTAATACAAAATAATATTGAATATAAACTTCAACAGAAAAAGATTTTTTAATTAAAAAAAAAAGTAACTCGACAGTGCCAATCCAAGGATCAGACGCCGGAGAAGTTGCGATCGTTTCAGGTGTTAAAAAAATAACGTTGGGTAAAAACGTGTTATAGTTATGCTTTCTGCAGAGGTTTTGTGGTAGCCTGGAGAACATTTATAGTGTGTGTGTGTGTGTGTTAGTTAAAGATTTTACTTATTTTCAGAGAGGGGAAGGGGGTAGAAAGAGGGAGAGAAACGTGGTTCAGCAACCCAACCCAGAGCCGAGGCATGTGCCCTGAAGCGGGTTTGAACCAGTGACCTTTGGCTTTGCTGAAGGACCTCCAATTGAGCCACACCGGTCAGGGCTATAATGTTCAAATTATTAATGTTAAAGCGAATAGAAGATTCTAGTTTTGCTTGTTTATCTCCCAATTATTTCGGTTAATGATGGGTTATATATACACTGTCTTAAAAAAAACAAAATCGAGACTTGAAAGGTCAAATCAAAGGTTGTTTTGTCACCTGTAATGTTTTCTCTGGTCTGTCGTTTGACTGTAGTTTGCTTTTCGTTCGTTTCCTAACTCCAGATGAGCAGGAAGTGGTGGTGGAGGTTCCCAGAGTTGTTCAGAATCCTCCAAAACCAGTCATGACCACCAGGCCTACAGCCGTCAAAGCAACAGGTATAACTTTTTTCACTTTTTTCTTTAAAAATTGTTTTATCGACTTATTTTTAGAGACCAGAAGGGAGGGAGAAAGAGAAACATGTATGTGTGGTGGCTGCTCATGCCCCCCCTCTTGGGGACCTAGCCTGCAACCGAGGCATGTGCCCTGACTGGGTATCAACCCCACTCAATCCACTGAGCCACACCAGCCAGCGCCGCGTTTTTTCCTACAGTATCTTTCATTAGGATCAAATTGGATTTATTTATAGAGTGTTTTGTTGACTGCTTCAGTTTTGGCTAATTTATGTTTTGTCCATAAAGGTAGAAATTTTACTTTTTAACTTTTATTGATTGATTGATTGATTTTAGAGAGAGAGAGAGAGAGAGGAAGGGGGAGGAAAGGAAAAAGAAACATTGATTCATTGTTCCACTTATTTATACATTTTTTAGTTGATCCTTGTGCATGCCCTGACCAGGGATGGAACCACAACCTTGGTGAATAGGGGTATACACCCTAATTAGCTGAGCTACTTGGCATGATAAAATGGAAATTTTAAATCTCTCTATGATGGTTGGTTAATGTACAATTCAACCAATGTAAAATGTGTTGCTGATTCCCCTGTACCCATTCTTTGCACTACTTTTTCTTTTAATGCCATTTTGAAGTGAGTTTTCTGGCTTCCCCCTCTAGCTCGGAAGGGAACACCATCTGTGTCTCTTCTAACACATTGTTTTGATTGGTACCTAGCAAATGTTTGTGGCGCTGAAAATTGCTCTTAAGCATTGAGGAATGCAGTGTTTGCAACAATGGTTTTGTAGACAAATTTGGGTTCAGATCTTCCTTCTGGCTTTCATTCTAAGACCTCAGGACCTTATTCATCTGTAAAATGGATCTGACAGCCCTAAGTATTATTTTGATGATTACATTGAACAATTTATGTAAAGTTTTGTGCAGAGCAGGTGCCATATGTGTTAGGTATATGTGTGTGTATATCTTGAAAGGTTAAAATATGTTTTAATGCTAACTATTCTGTAATGGTAATACTGGGTTGGCAAAAAAGTCTTACGTTTTTCTATAAAATAAAACAGACATTTTTCATTTTCACCAATAACTATTGATTTGGATGTTTTGAGTATGTCGGCTACCTCCCACTATTGGCTTCTAGTGGGTAGAGGCCAGGGGTGCTGATAAACAGCTTCCAATGCATAAGACAGCCCCACAGCAAAGAATTATTTGGCCAAAATGTCAGTAGTACCAGGAAACTCTGCAGACCACTTTTGATACATTCTATCAGTCACAGCACCTTCTCCATATAGTGCACAAATCTTTCTTTGCATTTCATTTGCATTTTTATCTTTTTTGAAATAATGACCCAAAAAAGTTGCATATTTTCTTCCATCTTCAATATTAAAATGGCTGCAGAAAAATTCACCAATTTTGATGTTTTCTTTTTTTAATTGTTTCAAATGAAGTTAAAGATAACTAAGCACAACTAATCAGAGAAATGCAAATTAAAACCACAGGGAGATACCACTTCACACCAGTCAGAATGGCCATAATAAATCAACAAACAACAAGTGCTGGCGAGGTTGTGGAGAAAGGGCAGCTCTCGTGCACTTCTGGTGGGAATGCAGACTGGTGCCGCCACTGTGGAAAAGTTTGGCATTTCCTCCAAAAGCTAAAAATGGAACTACCTTTTGACCCAGTAATTCCACTGCTGGGATTATACCCTAAGAATCCTGAAGCACCAATTCAAAAGAACCTATGCACCCCAATGTTCATAGCAGCACAATTTACAATAACCAAGTGCTGGAAGCAACCTAAGTGCCCATCAACCTAAGTGCCCAAAAAAAGTGTGGTACATTTATACAATGGAATACTATGCAGCAGAAAGAAAGAGCGAGCTACTACCCTTCGTGACAGCATGGATGGAACTGGAGAGCATTACGCTAAGTGAAATAAGATAAGGGGTGAAATACAAATACCATATGATCTCACCTATAAGTAGAACCTAATCAACAAAACATGCAAGCAAGAAAAATATAACTGACAACATTGAACAAAAAAACAAAGCAACAGTAACCAGAGGGGAGAAGGAAGAGGGGTAAGAGGGAAAAGAAGGGGAAGGGTCAAGTCAAGGAACATATATAAGGAACCCATGGACAAAGCCAAAGTGGGGAAGGAGTTTGGCAGTGGGAAGTGAGGGTGGGTAGGGCAGGGGAAAAGAGATAAATGTAGTATTTGAACAATTAAAAGAAAAAAAAGATTAAGCACAACTAGAACCATCATATGGAAAAAACTATGAACTTTTTGGCCAACCCAGTAATTTTATTCTTTTCAAGTTTGGTATACTTTTTGACACCTGTAATAATAAATACTCATTTCCTCCTCCTCCCACTTGCCACTTATTGAAAACAAAAAAAAAAAAATTAAAAAGAACCCTAGCTGGTGTGGCCCAGTGGATTGAGCCCTGGGTTACCAGTTTGGTTCTGGTCAGCACGCAGACCAGCTCTCCCGTTGGGGGCCTCTGAGAGGCAACCGATCAGTGTTTTGCTTGCACATCACTGTTTCTTTCTCTTTCTCTTTTTCCCCTCTAAAAATAAATATCTTTTAAAAAGAGAGAATGAGAACCCATTGTGGGTTAGAAAAACTAAAACTTGGTTGTTAGAATAATATTCACACTAGAAAATACTATTTTGTATCTGTGAACTACATATATTCATTTGAATGGCTTAGTGCAATGGAGGAAGTACTCAAGAATTGACTGTGTTTTTTCCTTGAAATGGTTTTTGAATTTTACCTTTATCATTATAAACATGCCAGATTTTTTCCACTAAAATAAAATAAAAATTTTAAGTTGTTAATGTATATTTTTATGAGTAGAGCAAGCGTATCTAATAGTTTTATCCTAGAAAATAGTTTTTAAAAGTATCTGCATGTGCAATTTAGGAAAACTTCAGAATAAGCTCTCCTAAATTAGATCAATAGACTGCTCTGACAGTCAGCCAGTATTTAAGCATCCTCTCGAAAAAGGTACTTAATGTGGGTCCGCAAATGAGTGTCAGAGGTCTGGATGCCCTGAAATTACACATTCAAGTGTGTGTTTCTGTGAGAAGACCCATAGCTTTTATCATCTTATTAACAGTTTCTGTGACTAAAGAGCTAGAAACTACTGTTCAGATGATGTTATGAGGAAATTATAATAGAGTTACTAGAAGTGTAAGGCACAGTTACTATTTGAAGCTTACCAGGACAGTAAGGTATATAATCTAAGAAATAATTTCATGATATAGTTTGTTGATTTGTGAATTGTGTGACACCATATGTTAAAGTAAGCGCACTGAGGTCAGTACCCTTCCCAAAAAAATGCTGCTAAGGACTGTGGCTTCAAAGAATGGCTCTGCTTCCTATGGCTTCAAGTAGTAGCCACATCTCAGCAGTAGTCTGGGACATGACCCTGAGAGACTTCTATTTTTCTAAGATTAAGCAATTTTGCAGAATATTGTGAACATTTTTTTCAATATTCTAAATTCATTCCTGTTTTTATCAAATGTATGGATTAAATTTTCAGAGATGTAATTAGAATTTACATGCATTTCATGACTTTTATCTTTTTTTTATTCATTTGGCATTACTTTTTGTCCCCTTCACATAACCCTATAGTGGTCTGATTAATCATAAAATAATACTGCGCCCTGGCTGGTGTGGCTTGGTGGATTAATTGAGTGCTGCCGGCCTGTGAGCTGAAAAGTCACCAGTTCAGTTCCCAGTCAGAGCACATGTCTGGGTTGCTGGTCAGGTCCCCAGTTGGGAATGTGCAAGAAGCGACAGATCCATGTATCTCTCACACATAGATATTTCTCTTCCTCTCTTTCTTCCTCCCTTTTCCTCTCTTTAAAAATAAATAAAATCTTTAAAAATAATAATAATAATAATAATACTCTGTCTGGTACTGTGCTGTAGTTGCTTTGCCAGTCCTCTGTTTGAGAGCATTTGAGTTATTCACAGCTTTTAGTTAAGTAAAGCTGCCAGAAGCTTTGTGCCCAAAAAAAAAAATTATTTCTTAGGATTATATTCTCAAAAATGAGATTATCTAGCTAAAAAGAAAAAAGAAGTAGCTCTTAATCCATGCTACCAGATTGTTCTTAAGAAATATTGAATTGCCCTGGCCAACTAGCTCATTGGTTAGAACATTGTCCCCAAATGACGAAAGTGGCAGGTTCTGTTGGGTTCAGTCCTTTCCCAGTCAGGGCACATGCAGGGAAGAACCAATGAATGCATAAATAAGTGGAGAACAAAGCAACGTTTCTCTCTCCCCCCCCTCCCCTTTTCCTCCCTCTCCCTCAAATCAATGAAAGAAAATTAAAAAGAAAATAATAAAAGAAATACTAAATCTTAACAATATTAAGTGTGCTTCTTCCCCAAAATACCCTTTAGTAATTTTTACTTTTCTATTTCATAGTCATTATGTTATTGATAGCTTAGAGAGGTTTGATGTGTGCGCTATAGAAAGGAAATAGGTGGAGCCCTGACTGGTGTGGCTCAGTGGGTTGGGCATTGTCCCACAAACCAGAAGGTCCCCGGTCCAGTCCCTGCCAGGGTACAACCTTAGGTTGCAGCGGGCCAGGTCCCCAGCTGGGGGTATGATTGATGTTTCTCTCACACGTCATCTTGATTATTTTCCTCTCTCCCCCATTTCCCCTCTCTATAAAAATAAATAAGTAGAATCTTTTAAAAATAGAGAAAAAGGTGGACCCTTGGTGAGCATGGGGAATTACCTCTGCTTCAGGAGTTTTGTAATTAAAATTCCACACAGCTCATCTGGTTGGAACCTTTTACCAAAGAGAGTATGTAGCATTAATGACAGTGATTTCGGTGATTAGCTCTATTATTGTCTCCAAACCAAGAAGTTTTTTTTATGTAAAAATACAAATTTTCCGTCTTCCTCATTTCCTCAAAAAACCATCAGTGCTAAGTGCTAAAATGCAGGTTTTGTCCACACAGAAATGTCTCCTTTTGTAGGCCATATCCTTGTGAGGCTAGGAAAATTGGCATGCCCCAAAACCAGGAGAGGTAAAATATAGGTAAAATACTTGGTGACACTGTCAGATGTCTACTTCAAATCATTTTAATCAGTTTAAAGTAGTAGTTTAGAAATTACTGTGTAGTGTAAAAATGTAACCTGTATGCTGAAACCTTATGTCACTAAAGCATCGAATGTGAACTCTTGTATGATAAATTAAACAGTTTGTGTCTACTTTTACATTAGCCCATGAATTCATTTATGAAATTATGACAAAGAAAACTAGATTTTGCTTGCTGATAAACATGACATTTACCAAATATTTATTGAGAACATAGAATGTGCCAGGCACTGGCAAATTTAGTCTTATTAATAAAGCTGAAAAGTCTGACTAGGCTTAAATACTTTATGTACCTGTTATTGTTCCACTTATTTATGCATTCGTTGATTGCTTCTTGTATGTGCCTTGACTGGGGATCATACCCACTACCTCGTTATCTTAGGATGATACTAACCAACTGAGCTACCTGGCCAGGGATTTTATGTACTTATTCCAATAAAGTGATATATAAAGAGGGTAAATATGGGTGGGTAAAAGGTTTACAGTTCTTTGTACGGAAAAAAACATGCAGGTTATAATTCTTATAATAGACTTATTAACTCAAAAAAGTGTCAGAATCTTTTAAAGGCTCAAATTGCCAGCCTTCATTATTATACATTCTTGTAGTCTACCTGCTACACTTAAGCACAGAGTATTTTTTGTTTTTGTTTTTAAGTTAACTTAGAAAGTCACAGAGGTAAGAAAAGGTGAGCCAGCTGGGCTGTGTGAGCTCAGGAAAAAAGTTACAGAGAGAAGGCCCCTGAGGGAAGGAGCGGGGAGAGGCTGCATTGTGCTCCAGAGTGCCGCAGAGTGAGCGAGTGAGCAGCTCAGGCTCTGTGGCACCGGGTGAGCCCAGCCTGCCCTGCCCTGCCCTGCCCTGCTCTGCTCTGGGGAAAGAAGGTGGTGGGGAAAGGCACGGGCTTGCTCCGGAGAGGGAACTAGTGCGCCTGGCAGAGTTCTTACCTACTTTTGCCCACCCCTGTTTATGCTCACTTCTTTTGTAACAGAGTAGCCACAGGTGCTGCAAAGGAACTAGCATAACAGCATACTAGGGGCTATATCTGAACTTGAGTTTGAGGAAGACACTGATAATTGGTGCTAGCTAGGGTGGGTGGGGTGTTTGTTTTCCTGCTAGCATTTTGAATCCATTGTGTTTGAGGGAAAGAAAATCATTGGAGAAGAGTTTTGCTTTTGCCCTGGAAAGGTAGCTCAGTTGGTTGCATCATGGTCCCTGTATGCCAGGGCTGCCAGTTTGATCCCCAGTCAGGGCACTTACAGGAATCAAACAATTATTGCCTCTATAAGTGAAACAATAAATTGATGTTTCTTTCTCTCTCAATTAAAAAAAAATTTTTTTTTAAAGAACTGTGTTTTTCATTTTGGAAATCTCTTTTCTCTACTGAAATCTTAATTGGTTTACTTGTTTGAGATGGATACATAAATTAACAAATGCTAAAATCAGGATATACTGTATGGTATTTTGACAGTATAAGGTTGAATGACTGAACATGTGATTTGAATAGGGTATCAGGTAACTATACAGATGGATTTGATTAGCTCTAGGTGCATAATGTAATTTATAGCTCTGGTGATTCATTGATGTATTTTGAGGTTTTCTCTGATCTGTAAGTAAACTAAATGTAAATCGTTTAGCTAAAGAATCATGTTATTTTTTTTTTTCTTGGATACTACCTAGTACATGTTAGCATTGTTATTACTAATGTGTTTGCCTTTCTATTTCTAGGAGGTTTATGCTTGCTTGGTGCATATGCTGATAGTGATGATGAAGAGAGTGATGTTTCAGAAAAACCAGCACAGTCTAAAGAGGCGAATGGAAATCAGTCAGCTGATATCGATAGTACATTGGCCAACTTTCTAGCGGTTAGTCGCACTTTTGTTTGGGTTTTTAAGTTATTGAAGCCACTTTGGAACCCAGATCTCAACTGGTTAGCCTACTTGTTGATCTGTGTCTCCCTCTTCCTTCTTCTTCCCCTTTACCTCTTTTCTTTGGTTCCTCCCCGTTTCTCCATCTTCTCTTTTTGTCAAGGTTGTAAGAGAGAAAAATGGAGAATAGAGAGGTTTGTGGGAACTTGTGTAATTAGGAGATAAGGGTTTTGGTTTGAGAAGCTTAAGGACTGAGCATGTGGGATTTTTTTTTAAGTGATTGCCATTTTCTCAATTTGGTTTTGGTGTGATTAATGGATTTGTTACTGTTTTCTTTCTAAAGGAGATTGATGCAATAACAGCTCCTCAGCCTGCAGCTCCTGTAGGAGTTTCTGCTCCACCTCCAACTCCACCTCGCCCAGAGCCAAAGGAATCAGCAGCATCTTCCCTTTCTTCCACTGCTTCAAATGGAACAGACTCAACCCAGACACCAGGGTGGCAGTATGACACTCAGTGTTCACTGGCAGGAGGTAAGCTTGACCCTTCAATTTTAAAGAAATCTCAAGTGCAACCCTTAAAGCTATTCTAGGCATTGAGGTTTCCAAAGATGAATGCCCACGTGCTTTCGTTCCAGACTGTAGGCTTCTACCTCTTCATTAATTTTTGTGTTATTTTTAAAAAATCCTCATCCAAAAGCATGCTTATTGATTTTTAGAGAGAGGGGGAGGGAAGGGAAGAGAGACGAAGAGAAACATCTGTCAGTTGCCTCTCATACACAGCCCAACCTGGGAACCGGACTTACAACCTTAGGTATGTGCCCTGACCAGGAATCGGAACCCATGACCCTTTGGGTGTGGGCCAGTGCTCCAACCAACTAAGCCACACCGGCCTGGGCCGATTCTGCCTCTTAAAATACAGTATTTTGGAAGATGATAAGTAGGGTAGTTGCCTCTGAGAATTACTAGGAAATACTTTTATTTTTTGAAAGACGATTACTTGCCCTTTTAACCAGTAATAAACAGCTTGTGCCAAGTGAATGATTGAAACCAGTATTTCAAAAGTTTTTTGAGGTTTGCAGTAAATTCTGCAGTATCAAACTGCTTTTGTTTAAAAAAAAGTGTGCAAAGGTGATGGGGAGTGGTTGCCCCTCAGGGGACATTGACAATGTCTAGAGACAATTTTCGTTGTCACAACAGCCAGTGGAGGAGTGTTACTGCATCTGACGGGTAGAGGCCAGGATGTTGCTCAACACTGCACAGGCCTGACCCCCACCCCCACTCCCGCGCCCCCCACAACAAAAAACTGTCCTGCCCAAATGTGAACTAATGGTGCTAAGGTTGAAAAACCCTTCGTTAGATTGTTACAGCTTTAGAGATGACTTGAGGCGTAAGGCCAGAATTGTGGAGGAATTTGTGCTTTTAAAATTTGTTTTATTTTCTTCTAGTTGGAATTGAGATGGGAGATTGGCAAGAAGTCTGGGATGAGAACACAGGATGCTATTATTATTGGAACACACAAACAAATGAAGTGACGTGGGAGTTACCCCAGTATCTAGCCACCCAGGTACAGGGATTACAACATTACCAGCCCAGGTAGGAATACACTTGAAATAACCTAGAAGGAAATCAGAGTCTTTATTTTTTAATGATAATACTTGCCTTCTATTTTTCTTGCTAAACTTGTTTTTTGTTTTGGTTTTTTTTTTTTTAAGTTCTATAACAGGTGCTGAAGCTAGCTTTGTGGTAAATACAGACGTGTACAATAAGGACAAAAATATTTCTGTTTCCAGTAGTAAAAGTGGACCAATCATAGCCAAGCGAGAAGTTAAAAAGGTCAGTGTTACAATATAACTTACTTGCTTATTTTTAAATCGAAAGAATATTAATATTACTGTGGCACAGGTATATAAGCTTTCTGTTAATACTTTATAAACACAAATGTGAAGTAGAATAAGTTCTTAGTTTTACTTAATATGTTTCTGTTTATTATATGGCATTTATAGCAGTTTGGCAAGTTCAGTGGTGGTTGGGAGTTTTCGGGTACCTAAGAGGCTCCTTGGGCATTGTAAAGGATTGTGAAGCAGCCACGTAGGCAGGACTCAAGGTCCTCTCCTCCACTTCAAAATAGTTTTATTTGGGGATTCCAGGTAAGTAGAGTTGGCAGTACAATATTGTATTAGTTTCAGCTATTCAACATAGTGATTCAACAGTGAAGCGCCTTACAGCATGATCACCGTGGTAAGTCTGTTAAACATATGTCATCATACAAAATTATTAGATGATATTATTGATTGTATTTCTTATGTACCTTAGACAAGTATTTGTTTAATTATAAACCGTACTTGTTTATAATTGAAGTGTGAACCTCTTACTCTCCTTCATCCCTCTGTGCCCCCACAACCATCAGTGTGTTTTCTGTATCTGAGTGTGTTTATTTTTTAAAATTTTACATAAGTGAAATACTACAGTATTTGTTACTCTGACCTTTTTCACTTAGCTACCCATGTTGTCACAAATGGTAAGATTTCCTTTTTTATAGCTGAGTAGTATTCCATTGTATTTGTATACTGCATCTTCATTCATCTATTAGTGGACACCTAAATTTCTTCCATATCTTTGTTACTATAAATAATGCAGCAGTGAACATAGGAGCACATATATCTTTTCAAATTTTATTTCCATTCTCTTTAGATAAATACCCAGAACCAGGATTGCTGGGTTGTATGGTTAGTTTGATTTTAATTTTTTGACAAACATCCATGTTATTTTCCACAGTGGTGGCTCCACTTTGCTGTCCCACCAGGAGGGCACAGGTTTCCCTTTTCTTTATATCCTTGCCAACACCTATATTTGTTGACTTTGATAACAGCCAGTCTGACGGTTGTGAAGATTTTAATTATCTTGAACTTTTAAATGGTGGAGCGGGCAGTTGTATCAGAAAAGTACTTTTAGAATAATTTCATCTTTAAAATTCCAGGAGGGAGGTAAAACATTTATCCCAGTAGAGGACATAGACACTATAATAATAATCACATTTCATTTTATAAATATTTCACTTCCCTCTAAATCACCTTCATAGAATAAATGTGAGGTTATCTCGTCATACAGAAAAGGAAGGTGAAGATTTATTACCAGTTATGTGTTGAAACTATGGAACTTTTTTTTCTATAATTTACTGATCTTATAAAGAGAATTAAAAAAGCATTGATTCACTGTTTCACTTAATTTATGCATTCATTGGTTGCTGCTTATATGTGCTGTGACTGGGGATCGAAACCACAACCTTGTCCTTTTGAGATAACACTCTTAACCAACTGAGCTGCCCATCCAGGGCCGAGCTGACAAAACTTTGATCTTGTTTATTTATTTAATTTATTGAGATTTTGTTTATTTTTAGCCCTAGCTGGTGTGTCTCAGTGGGTTGAGCACCAGCATGCGAACAAAGTGGTCGCTGGTTCATTTCTTGGTCAGGACACATGTCTTTAAAAAAGTACTTATTTTTAGAGAGAAGGAAGGAGGGAGAGAAACATCAATTGGTTGCCTCTCACATGACCTATTGCTTTGCAAGAGGATGATCAACTGACTGAGACACACCAGTCAGGGCTGATTTTATTTAAATCTACCTGTGCTTCTTACTAGTCTGTCTTTGTAGAAAGGGAGAATGGGGGGAGGATATGTTTGTGTTCCACCCACCACTAGGTTCTAGTTCAGACTGCCTTCCTAAAGTAGCAATGTTTCCATTATACGCATGTAAGAAAAACGGTACAAACATAAAATGATCTATTGGGAGTTGGTTTTTTCAGTATATTCAGTGACTGAAAATTACAGTCATTTTCTACATGACTAATTATGTATATTCAGGTGAGATTTGTTTGGAAATTAAGTTAGATTATTTTATTTTCTATAGGAAGTAAATGAAGGAATTCAGGCTCTCTCAAATAATGAGGAAGAAAAGAAAGGGGTCGCAGCATCACTACTTGCTCCTTTATTGCCTGAGGGAATAAAAGAAGAAGAAGAGAGATGGAGAAGAAAAGTAATTTGTAAAGAAGTAGAGCCAATTTCAGAACTGAAAGAAACAAGTACAACAGAAGAAGTAGCAACAATAGTAAAGCCACCGGAAACTGTACTGGACAATATGGAAGACCCTTCTCAGGAGGATCTTTGCAGTGTTGTTCAATCTGGAGAAAGTGAGGAGGAAGAGGAACAAGATACTCTTGAACTGGAGCTAGTTTTAGAAAGGAAAAAAGTAAGTTTTTGAAATTTTAGTTGAGGTACATTTTCTTCCCTCAGTACTGTCCTACCCTGCAGTGATTGTGCTCAGTTTACAGCACAGTTTTGAGAAAGGTTTTTCTTAACCTTTGGACTAGATATGTTTAAGCTTTTGAGCTATGCAGGGGTTTTGTGGGGGGAAGGGGGATTTGTTGGTCCTTGACGATGCCTTTTTGGTAGTTGACAACCAATGAACACTGACATGGTTCTGATTTAAGGATAGAGTGAATAAAATATATTTGATTTAGCTTCTTAACAAATAAGCATTACAAACTCTTGTGATAACTTATCAGCCATGGTATTGCTTTGATAGTTAAATGGGCCTTGTAAGATAACAGAGGAATTATGAGGAAACCATAATTTCATGTGCTTTTCTTTTAAAAAGGTGAAAAAGTACCATCTTTTTAAAAGTTCCACAGGAAACTTTCCTAATAAGTTGATTTTTACTCATTTTGTGCCCTGATTTCCTTGGAACAATTTTATCTGCCGTTCCCTTGAATAAAGCAAAACCTTAAAAGTGTTGTAACAGTGATATTTCCTTGAACCTATGGAGAGGGACTAGCTGAGTTATGTACTCCTTTATCTGTTGTGTATTCCTGTTGGAAATTTTGTCTATTAGTGGATTTCTAGAACCTATCTAGAAATACTAATTTCTAGAATCAGTATTCACTACACTCATCAGTCAGCATTTACTGAGTAACCATTGAATGTGGACTATAATGCTCGGTTCTTGTGGAAAAAATGTATTAAGAAATGTTTCCTGCCTTCTAAGGGCTTAAATTCGGAAAACACATGCCTATTATTCTTGCTACTCACAGGCACTTAAATGTAATAAACAATTACTGACACTTAATCTTAACTTTATTTTCGTGTTCTTTGTAGGCAGAATTGCGAGCCTTGGAGGAAGGAGATGGTAGTGTGTCAGGGTCTAGTCCGTGTTCTGATGTCAGCCAGCCAGCATCTCAAGATGGAATGCGTAGACTTATGTCTAAAAAAGGGAAATGGAAGATGTTTGTTCGAGCTACCAGTCCAGAATCTACCAGCCGGAGTTCTAGCAAAACTGGACGAGAGACTCCAGAAAATGGAGAAGCTGGTAATTCATGATTTAGAAATGAAAGATGTGAAGGGGAAATTATTTGTTTTCTTTTTCTTGTTCCCACTTCTGCAAAAAGTGAGGGCAGGACTTTACCTTTTTAGAAAAATGCTGGGAAGGAGGCTTTCTTTCACTTCTCTAGTTTTTCCTGCTCTACCTCTCAGTGGAAGACTAAGAAAAACCAGCCTTCATTGCATTGTGTATCTACTACTGATGGGGGATCACTTCCTCTAAAAAACAGAAAACAAGATTGACCCCCCCCCCGCCCCCCCTTTTTTTTTTTTTTGCTCTCGCCACAATAATTGTGTTGAGCTGTATAAGAACGGGGGCTCTCCTTACTTAGCTCATTATTTCCAGTTTGTAAGCAGGGCAAGCAAAGACCACCTCTGGCAAGCCCAGCCCCATCTCTATTCTCTGTACAGGTTGGCCATCCTCTGGTTGGCTGTGTAGGTAGTTTGATCCTGTCATGAGGACTCCAGCTACCTTCACTCAGGGTAAGGTAGGAGAGATCGTGCTGCGTTTTTCCAGTCATTTATCAGAGTTAATTAAAGTTTTTACCTCCATTGGGCCCTAATTCTGTTGTGGGAAGTTAACAAGATTTGAATAGTAAACCCCTTAGTTGAGTATGCCTAGCAGAAGATACCTTATAGGTTATAGTTTAAAAATTAACAAACAATAACAGTTACAGTTTAAAAATAAATGTAAACAACTTAGAATTTTCTCCTTTCATTCAATAATATAGCAGAAGATGTAGTAGAATTCTAAAAGTCCTCCTTCATCTTTCCATATTCTCAGTCCCTACACCTAAGGTCCATTTTCTATATCCTTGATCTATGTATATTCTAGACTTCCTCCTCTATTTACATTTGTAGTTGTGTATATGTGTACATATGTAAATTTTACTTCACAGGTGAGATTAGCCATATGGATTGTTAGGCAACACATTTTTCTCACTTAACATGGCTTACAAATTATTGTTCTTCACCACAGAATGGTATAGATATCTTTTTAAGCAAATAAATTTTAAAAATTATTTTTATTGATTGATTTTGGAGAGAAACATTGATTTATTCCACTTATGCATTCATTGGTTGACCTTTTTTCAGTCACTTTATCATTTTTAATTACCGTTGACATACATTATTATATTTAAGGTGTACATCCCAGTAATTAAACGTTACATAACTTAATAAGTAATCATCCTGATAACTCATACCCATCTGATACCATATATAGTTATTAGACTCTTATTGACTATATTCCCTATACTGTGCTTTACATCCCCATGACTATTCTGTAACAGTCATTGGTCGATTTCTTGTGTGTGCCCTGACTGGCTGGGGATTGAACCCACACCCCTGGCATAGCAGGATGATGAACTAACCAACTGAACTATTTGGCAAGGGCCTAGATGTCTTTGTCTAACTCTTCCCCCATTGATGGATATTTAAGTTATATTCATGTTTTACTCTTAAGAATAAGACTGCATTTAGCCCTGGCCAGATGGCTCAGTTGCTTGGAGCGTTGTCTCACATAACAAAAGGTTGTGGTCTCAATCCCTAATCAAGATCCATACGGGAGGCAACTGATAGATAATCTCTTTCACATCAGTATTTCTCTCCCCCCCCGCCCCCCGCAAAATAAACACATCCTCTGGGGAGGATTACGAAAAAATGTAATAACAGTACTGCATTTATATTATCAAACCTACAAGCCATTTAAATGTCCATCAAAGATAGAATGGATAAATTGTGGTATATTCTTGCAATCAAATTCTAAACAGCAGTAGTTCAAAGTGACTGACCCATAGTTATATGCATCAGTATAGAGTAACCTCAGAAATAATATTGAATTTAAAAAAGAAGAATGTATATGGTTATGCTCTGTGAATGTAAATTGGAAAATGCATAAAAATCCTGTGCTTAAAGATCTATGCATGCTGAAAGAAAAGGAACGACCTGCTAACTGTCAGAGCCGAGGGTGTGCCTGGTGTGGGTGTGGTGGCAGAGAGGCACCCGGCTCCTCAGAGTTGCTAGTAATGGTCTTCCGTTAAACTGGGTTGTAGTTCCTTGAGATTTTAAGACTATGTTGTACGCATTTGTTAGGGCATTTTACAGACATTTGATGTGATACTTCACAATAAACAATGCTGAAGTAAACATCCATCCCGGTGCATATGTTTTAATGTAGATTTTTCTATCATTGTATAGATGACTAGTGGTGTATTACCAGGTCAAGGGGTGTGTGCATTTTAATTTCATAAATGCTGCTTAATTGCCCTTCAAAATACTCAAGTCGTAGAGCTCTAGGGGTGCTTAAAATTATTAGATTCTTGTGCATGACATGAAATGGTAAAATGTCTGACACATAAATGAATTACAAACTAATAAAGAGAAGAGTAGAAAAATTTTATTTCAGATGATTAGAAAATGCAGAAGAAATGTTAATGATCAAATAAAAGAGAACAAGGCCATTTTAGGCTAATGAAAGCTTTTGAAAGTGATGTTAATGTCACATTTCTTCCTTAGATCAAGGATTAACTAGAGTTAAGTAAAGGTACTCTTTTTTTTTTAATCTGGTTCTCATGACAGAATGATTTACATTTTATATGAGGATTAGTTTGTTAATCATGTGTTAAGAAGCAAGCATAACAAAGAAAGTTCCTATCTTTTACTTTGTTCAAGTTGGTGGTGAACCTGTTCTCTTTTGGAGAGTCCCACTGCTAACAGACAGCAGCACCAACCAAAAGAGTAGGTTAGTCCAGTACAGGTCGTCTACAGGTCTTAGCCAGTTCAGGAGGGAAGTTATCAGGTAGTTTAAAACACTGCTCTGATTTAAAAAGCCTTTTTTCCAAAACTCACTTGATAAAGAACCCTCATATATTCCAAGTTTGATATTTAGCTGTTTTGTAAGCAATTTGAAGCCATGGTATTCTGGAAGAAAAGATTAATAAAGGAGAAGGAGAAGCAGAAACTACAAAGTAATATAGTAAAACAAAGTAACTTTTATTTATAGGCCCATACTAAGAAAGGTGATTATAAAGGATAAAGTTTTGTGGCTTTATAAAGACAATAGGCTGATAAATCATTAGGGCTGCTTTAGCAAGTAAGAAACAGGCAAAAGAGAAAATTAACATTTTTTCAAAGCTCTCTGCTACAGGGGTAAGAAAATGTTTATGGTGCTCTATCAGTATCAGTCCCTTAGATTTAATTTTGTTTTCTTTTGCAGCAATTGGTGCTGAAAATTCAGAAAAAATAGATGAGAATTCAGACAAAGAGATGGAAATAGAAGAATCTTCAGAGAAGATAAAAATACAAACAGCACCTAAAGTAGAAGAAGAACAGGATTTAAAAGTATGTGTGCATGTTACTTAATGCCACTTGACAGATATTTTTAAATTGGTGAACCCATATACTACTTACTGTTAGCAAGTAGTAAACTTTGTAGTAAACATTTACTTTTTTAGGTGAAAATGCCATATTTAAGGCTGAAATAAGTAACAGTAAGGCTGATTTTATGTAGAGAAATTAACTAAAGTTCTAAATAATTACTTTCTCACAATAAACCTCCTTTAGAAAGCAGTAGCTTATCAAATGCTCCTCTATTTTGGAAGTACTAAAAAGACTGAAAGTTATAAATTCCTACACGGCCTTATACAAAGGCAAATTTGCTTCCAGTTTCATTTCTATTTCTCATATGAGGAGAAGTGTGTGGCTATTTAAGGGCAGTCTGTTGGAAAAACCAATTAGCATATTCTTTTGACTTGAAAGAGTTTATCCAATTGCTAGCTAGTGTTCAGCAATATAGAAGAGACTGGGAGAATTAATTTTGTTCAGTGTGTGGCTAGTATACATAGTTAGTAATGGATAAATAATAGTTTGAACAATATTGGGAGTTAACATCATTTAGGATCTGTATTTAACTGTTGCATTGTATGTTGTGTTCAATTAGATAATACTTTATTTTCTCCATACCTTCTGTGAATTATTTTATTATAATTTTATCTTCTCTATAACTATTTGGATGCAGCTACTTCAGAAAGGCTATATAATTTATAAGCAGACCCATTATAACTTAATATAGAAAATATTGCAGATTCCATTTTTATTTTAACTTTTCTTCTTTTCTGCATTACAGTTTCAGATTGGAGAACTAGCAAATACCCTGACAAGTAAATTTGAATTTTTAGGCATCAATAGACAGTCCATCTCCAACTTTCATGTGCTGCTCTTACAGACTGAGGTAATTTAGCTATTTTGGTGTAGTCAATGTTTAAATAAACTGTTGTATGTGAAGAATCTGTCTTGTTATGTTTTAATTCTAAATTTGAATGTTTAACCTTGATGTATATTTTAACCACTAACGCAGAAAATAAAACCGTATTAGCCAAAGCAGAATACTAAGAAATGTTGAAAGGTGTATGTATTGTGTATAATGATAATCACTTGCACTTAGCACCTTCAATAGGCATATATATTTTATTTATTGTGCTAACATTGGTTAATAGCAGAATTCAGATGTACAACTGAAAAGGCATATGTGTAGATATATATCTTTTTAAGATTTTATTTATTTATTTTCAGAGAGAAGGGAAGTGAGGGAAAGAAACATTGATTGGTTGCTTCTCACATGTCCCCCAACTGGGAACTTGGCCTACAACCCAGACCTATGTGCCCTGACTGGGAATCAAACCAGTGATCTGGTTTAGATTTTCAGACTGGTGCTCAAGTCACGGAGCCACACCAGCCAGAGCAAGACATATATTTTAATACAGATTTTTTTTTCTAATTAAAATTCTAATCATAATGATCAGATGAGACCGTATAATGTTGAAAGTACTTTATAAATGTTAAAGTATAAGAAATCTAAGAAAAGTTCTGAGTCCTATTTGTAACCAGCTTTCTGTAAGAAGCTTACTGGTTCCCTAAAAACTGAACCTCGGATTTTGGTTAGTAACATTACTGGCCTGAATGAACTAACTGCCCAAATGGAAGATAAAATTACTGGGAAAGCAATCTTAATATAGTCTAAAAGGGGAAACTAAAACTGCTATTCATTTTCACAGATACTAGAGAGTTGGCGGTATAAAAATGCACTGGGGTCCAGTCTAATTTTTTATGAAATTAAGATGGGAATTCTTTTCGTCTTTGGTCTACTCCTGCTACAGTATAACAGTACAGTCATGAACTGGAAGACTTAGGTCCTTCTTTCTTCTGCCTCCTCACATAATAAGTCTTTAAAATTTACTGTTGTTTGTTGATTCTAGACTCGGATTGCAGACTGGCGTGAAGGGGCTCTTAATGGAAACTACCTTAAACGAAAACTTCAGGATGCAGCAGAACAACTAAAACAGTATGAAATAAACGCCACTCCTAAAGGCTGGTCCTGCCACTGGGACAGGTACGCACTCTTCTCCCCTTTTCACCTTTCACCTTTGACATCTCAGACATGATTTGTGATCACCACCACCTGACAACATGACAGCCTGTCTGGAGACTGAGAGCAGCTGCAGTCAGCGGTGCTGGGCAGGCAGAGCACCGCAAACGCTTACAGAGTTTGGGCCAGCCACGCGTTGGAGAAACAAAAAACAATGTTTAAAGTGTTCCATGTAACGGATTTTTTTCCAAGATTGGACAAAGCTGATTTTACTCTCCAGAGTGTTGCACGGAGTAGGGCGGGCTTGGGGGTTAAGCGCATGCGAGAGCTCTGTGCGCTTTACAGGACCTCTGGAAGCAACTACTCCTGATTAACCTCGGTGAAGTTAAGGAAAGCTTCGTGGCTGAAGATGTGAATGGAGAACAAGATTACTATCTTCTGCCAGCAGGTCAGATGAAAACATTTCTTTTTATATTTGGCTTTTCTTGATTTTTTTTTCGTTATTTGAAATCTTTGCTCTTTTATTTTTCAGCTCCCAGATCCTCTCCCTCTCTTTAGCTTTCACTGTGTTTGGTATCAAGAGTATGAAATGTGAATTCCACGGTCCAAGAGGGGAAGAGTCACCTTCCGCATACTTCGTTGTTCTCTTCTTTGGAAGGGAAATTAGTGTTCTAGGAAATTGAGTCCCTCTGTTAATGACACTTGAAATCCTGTTAAGCATTGGCAAAAAAAAGAAAGAAAGGAAGAAATGAGTGATGTTTTCTAAGTCATCTGTTGGTGTGAGAGGGCTCAGGGCTGTATTCACAGAGCTGCTGGCAGTGCAAATAGCTTTGAATTATCCTTGGTTCTCTATTCTCAAATGTCAAAGCTCTTTGTTGCCTTTGTGAATAGCAGTCCGTTAAGAAGAGGTTCGTCCCTGTGAGAGCAGACTGCTGTCCTGGGACAGGACCAAATGGAAGTGTCTTTGTAGGAGAACGGGTCTTAAAACATGTGTTTTCTTTCTTGTAATTTAGGGATCATAGACGATATTTCTATGTAAACGAACAATCGGGCGAGTCTCAGTGGGAGTTCCCAGATGGTGAGGAGGAGGAGGAAGAAAGCCAAGCACACGAAAGTAGAGACGAGACTCTTCCTAAACAGACCTTGAAAGACAAAACTGGCACTGATTCAAATTCTACAGAATCCTCCGAGAATTCCTCAGGTGGGATAATTTACCCTGTACTAATTGGAGAGAAATGATTTTAGAGAAAAAAAGACTTGTATTAAGATCATAAAAGAAATGATACAAACCATAACAAATTTCCTTTTTTATATATATTTTTTATTTATTTATTTTTAGAGAGGGAAAAGAAATTGATCGGTTGCCTCCTGTGTGCCCCCAACTGGGGACTTGGCCTGCAACCCAGGCACGTGCCCTGACTAGGAATAGAACCAGAGACCTTTCAGTCCACAGGCTGGCACGCAATCCACTGAGCCACACCAACCAGGGAATAAATCACAACATAAATTTCTAATCAAAAAGCAGTGTTGAGGTAGCTCAGTTGGTTAGAGCATTGTCCCAGTACATGAAGGTTGCAGGTTCAATCCTTGGTCATGGCACCTACAGGAAGTGGCCAATGAATGCATAAATAAGTCTCTCCCCTTCCCCCTTAAAAAAAGGGGAGCAGTGGCTTGATCAAAGAAAGAATGCAGAAGTTATACTGAAGGAAACAAAGGCAGTGACTGGTTGAAAGTCAGTACACTATTGATAAAAATTGAGATGGTGAGCCATTGTAATTTGATTTTTAAAAGATCGTCCTATAACCACTCTCTGATGCTACAGACAAAGCCGTAGATTTCCAATAACAGAAATGCTAATTAATGCTAAGGAACTAGGTGGTTGAATTGTGAAGTTCTATGTGGAATAATGTGAGATGTTGCCCCTTTCTGTAGAACTCTTAGTGTATTGATATTGTAACCTCATTTCTCAACTTGACTTACAAGAAGTCTTAAAAGAAATGTGGTTGTTACAAATCAAAATGATCTGCAGAAATGTAATGAATCTAGGACTGTACTTGTTCGAAAGGAGCACAATAATTTACCATTGCAAATAGTCAATATTCTTCTATAAAACAATCAGAATGGCTCAACCCATTTAAAGTAGTCTTAGAGCTTTTCAGCTTACGTTACATACAGTAACTCCTAACTTAACTCTTCCATAGGGTTCTGTGATTACATAAAACAATGTATAATGAAACCAGTTTTGCCATAGGCTAATTGATATAAATAAAAGTTAGGTTCTAATGTCATCTCATTCATCATATTAACATATTAACAAAACGTTATGCAAGGACCTGCTGTACATTAAGGGGATGCAGGGAGGGGCTTGCATAACACCACAGTTCCCTGAGAATGGTAGCTTTTCTAAGACTCATGGCTTGGTAGCCACATAATGGAAGATCCACATTTTTTTCCCCTCCAAGTCCATCTTAGAATGACAAAAATAAGTGAATAGTGAAGCATAGTCAAAACTGATTAACAACTTTTTGATCTAAAGGAACTGGTATCTATTAATTTGTTAAAATGATGTCATATGAAGGCAAGAGTCTATGGAGTGATTTCTAAAGAAACAAACCTTTGAAGATAAAAAGGCATGGAATCTGTTGGTAAGATAAGGAGTAAAGAGCTGAATTCTTTTTTCTTCTGCTTATCAAAATGGTGCTTGTACCCTATTAGCTCCCTAATCCCAGTAGAAAAGTTCTGATGTTGCACCAAATGAAACTGGTCATGATTTTAACTTCTTAAATGGCCTATGACTCGTTACCAGATCACTCTAAATAAAAAGCTACATAGGACCGCAGTGAAAATTACAGAATATAACAAAAGGGTGGTTTCATTCTACCTTTTCAGAAATACACTTTCTCAAGTTATGGGGTATTTTACTTACCATTTTCATGAAGTTACTTTCTTTTGATTACTTTCCCCCCTTCTTTTGGTAACAGTGATAGATAGGTATGTCTAATACCTTGGTTTTATTGGTTGTGTTTTAGTAGTTAGTGAACTTAAAGAGGCTTGATGGTGGTTCTGGGCAGGTGATGCCACTCCTGACCACTGCCTAATGTCTCTTTCTTGTATTTTCCAAAGTTGGATAATCTGGAATCACCAATTAGGTGGTCTCTGATCACCTCGGAGTTGAGTATTTTCTCCCTTTGCTGATGACACACCCAGTTGGTTCTGTCTGGTAATGGGAAGACCTTGAGACATTCCTATCTGAATAAAATAAAACTATGCTATAAGAGAAAGCCACAGATAAACCAGCTTATATTTTTCAGCCTCTTTACTGAGAGCCACTAAAACCACGTGATAAACTTGATGTAAATAAAATCCAAATATGTCTTTGAGATTTAAAGGCAATACCGATCACTATTTTAGTGCTCCCTTTGGGTCACTAAAGCCTATAAAGCCTATAGGCTTTTTTAGCCTATAAAGAAAGTTTATAACACAGCGTGTGCTTTTTGTTAGTTTAACGGTGGTTAAAGTAATCTTTTAGAGAAGAAAAATTACCTTATTTTTGGGAGCAAGGAAGTTCCAGAGTTCCCTTTATTTTTAATTCTTGTTTATTTTTTAAATTTGAATTTAACATGTCTAAGGATGAGCGATATTTCAAGATACCCAGTATGTCTTTCTTACTGGGCTTGTGTCACCCAGTTTAAATATAGCTGCTTTAAAAAAAAAAGTCTCTAAGGACCTATTATAATGTAACTTCTTGCTTTAAATTGCTAAACTGGCCTCTTGGCTCAAAATACTACAAAAAATTTTATCTTTGTGAGAATGCAAGAAAATAAAGGAATCATGCCTATAAATAGAAATAAATTTGCATAGAAAAGACATATTCTTGAAGCATTCAAAATTTGCATCCCGTACTCTTTTATCTTTAAGCTTGTAGTTTATTTTTTTTAAAGACTTTGTTTGTTTTAATAAAGGATGGAAAGAGAGAGAGAGAGAGAAACATGAGTGTGTGGTTGCCTCTCGTGCACCCCGACTGCAGACCTGACCCACAACCCAGGCGTGTGCCCTGACTGGGAATGGAACCCATGACCCTTTGGTTCGCAGGCCAGTGCTCAATCCACTGAGCCACACCAGCCAGGGCCAAGCTTGTAGTTTTTTAAATCTGTTAGCACGTAATGACAGCTACGTGCTAACCATTTTAACCTCTCCTTGGACTTCAGACTAAAATGTTCTCTTAAATGGCAAAATGTAGCAAAAGTATGTTTAGAAACGAAGAAGAGCATCATGTAGTATGACATCCACGGATATAAAAACTAGGATTTCTTGGAATTTCATTGTATATAAGCTAAAGGAGATAATTACGAATGTTAAAACTCAGCTTTTGTGTTTTGAGTAAATGTAGTTTGGGATACAAATATTAATTCTAAAAGGGTTCTTCGTTTGCTGTTAAATTTATCAAGTCTGATTTATTTTGTAGTTACACAAAGTTTAATTCTGATTAGCTTTGTTGGAAATTGTAAACCATGTGATTAATCTGGAACCTGTTTCCTTGAGTTTCTTTCATTGCGTTATGTTTCTAAATGAAGCATTTGCCAATGTATAAAATCGGACCTTTTTACTTACCTACCATATGTTGTGGTTGGTTTAGTACAACATTAATCCTCAATGTTTAATACCTTGGTTCTGATGTAATCTCATTATAGAATTATATAATGTAATAAGCTGCTTAGCCATACCCAGACTTTATTTGTCTAAACGTTAGTGTATAAATTCATAGGAGGTATAAGCAAACACAAGTTTAATGGTACATTTGAAGTCTCAAGCTAAAAAAAAAACTGCATTTCTATTTTCTGGTGAATTTCTCAGTGCTCTTTTCCTTAGTCCTAAACAACACCTCAAAATAATTACAGTAACCATGTGAATCAGGTTCTTAAAGACTTCTACATAATGTATCCATTTTCTGTTCCATGAAAAGCAAAGCTGTTTCAAAAGCCAAATATTCCTGTTCACTTTGATTTTACTGTGTGGAGTGCCAGTGTGGTGTATTTTGAGCAAAGTAAGGTAAAATGCCTTATCCTTGTCCCAGAGCCTTTTATAATAGAGCCCTTATCTAATCCACTGCTTTTGACCATAAAATTTAACAGGTGACTGCATCTGGATCTCTACTCTTTGAGAAGTGAGATTTATTTGACTGAGATTTCTAAAGCTCTTGGCCTCCTGATACTTCACAGGGAAATCTTGGTAAAATAACACTAGACTAGGAGTCATACCAGCCACTAAGAGCCGTGTGATCTTGGGCAAGTTATGTATTTCCTCCTGGGTTTCATTACCTTTAAGATGAGAGAGTTGAACTAGATGATTTCTCATGTCTCTTCTACTCCTAAATTCTATGAATTTTAGGGAGAAAATACCCTTCAACATTCCTGGGATATATATCTAATAGTCCCATATATTGTGAAACTTCCCTATTGACGATAAAGAGGGATGGGGAAGGCTACAAGTAAGTATATCCTATTTTCTCTGATCATTCAAGCTTTTCCCACTAGAGAAAGGACAGTAATTAACTGTGAATTTTGCAAAACTAGAGGAAAGCTAACGCTACAGCTTTTCAGCTGTAATCTCAGACTTCAACAGCAATTTCAAATCCTCTGCATCTTCAAACACCTTTTGTGTGTACCTTAGTTATCATTTACCATGAAGATTTTTTTTCTCCTAAATTTCCTTTTCTTGTCATAGAAATAAAATTACCCTCCCTGGTTTGTGTTGCTGTTATTTTAGCAAATGAATATAATTCACATAAAAGTGTGAAGGAATGATAGGGTTGACAGTAACACCTTGCAAATGGTTTTTTAAAACTTAGTGACCCAAATTAATTAAATCAGATAGAATTTGTGAGAATGTTTTGAATGGGTACTTCTTTGGGTCATCCTCAATATGTCTGCCTCACTAAAAATACATGGCATTAGTACTGCAAATGCACATCACTCCCCTCATCACTTTTTTAAAGTTAAAAAGACCCCAGTGTTTGCCTTCTAATTTGTGTATTTCAAAACTGAGTACAGGTCCAGACGACCAAATTTCTCATTGGGTTAATGTGCTTCACTTGTTTATAAATCTGGACCCAAAGAACAAGATTAGTATTTCATAGTTGAGGTATGAGTGCTAAGTTTGAGGCTCATAAATGTATCATTCCATGAAGATCATTTTCGAACTGTTATTTAGTGTTTAAGTGACATCAATGTAGAATAAATAGGACTGTGGGTCAGATTTTGTCTCACCAGTCAGTTGCACGTTTCTATAAATAAAATCCATGGAGTTTTTGTATTGCTTTCTCCCTGACTCCTGTTTGTTTTTTTAGGTTCTCTTTGTAAAGAGTCCTTTTCTGGTCAAGTTTCTTCTTCATCACTCATGCCACTTACTCCATTTTGGACCCTCCTTCAGTCAAATGTGCCAGTGCTTCAACCTCCATTACCTTTGGAAATGCCACCGCCCCCACCTCCGCCCCCAGAATCTCCTCCTCCGCCTCCCCCACCCCCTCCTCCTGTAGAAGATGGTGAGATCCAGGAGGTAGAGATGGAGGATGAGGGAAGTGAGGAGCCTCCTGCCCCAGGAACAGAGGAGGATACTCCATTGAAACCTACACAAGCCACCATTGTAACCAGTCAGGTGAGAAACACCATTTGACATCCTGAAGAGTTTTAGGGGACCAGGGCATGATTGATACCATGTTTTATTTCAGAAGAGGATGTTTAACCAGGGCCTTTAGCTACTGACTACCGTCTTTTGTGTTTCAGAGTTCCGTTGATTCTACCATCTCTAGTTCTCCTGCCACTAAAGCAGTAAAGAGAAAAGCTACAGAAATTAGCACTGCCGTAGTTCAGAGATCAGCTACCATTGGTAGTTCTCCGGTCCTCTACAGCCAGTCAGCTATAGCTGCAGGTAATCATTGTGATTCAAATGTTTTCCTCACTGTATTATATCTTTGTTTCCAGAATTAGATGTCATAAATTTAAAAAATGTTAAAGGCTTCTCATTGCAAAGACAATTTATATGTGTTTCTTTTCACCTGCTAAACACTTGAGTTACTATTAATAGTTTGGCATGTATCCTTCCAGATTGTTCTCTGCATTTATATAGCTTCAGTGATTTTGATGTTTAAGTACTTTAAAGCTAACTTACTCAGAAATTAATATTTTGCTACTAGCCCTGACCGGTGCGGGTCAGTTGGTTGGGCATTGTCCTATAAAGCTACAGGTTGCCGATTCTGTTCCTGGTCAGGGCATATGCCTGGGTTGCAGATTTCTCTCGATCTCTTCCCCACTGTCTAAAAATAAATAAATAAAATCTCTTTTAAAAATATACTTTATATCCTCGCTGGTGTGGCTCGGTGGATTGAACGCTGGCTGGCAAACCAAAAGGTTGGTGGTTCAGTTCCTGGTCAGGGCATATGAATGGATTGCTGGCCAGGTCCCAAGGTTGGGGCATTGCAAGAGGCAGCCAGTCAGTGTTTCTCTCCCTCCCTCTCTCCTTCCCCTCTCTCTAAAAATACATAAATAAAATCTTTTTTTAAATAAGTATTTTGCTGTGAGAAGATGTAGGTATATTTTGGGGCGGAAAAGATATATTAGAATCATTTTTTAGAAGATCTCCAAGTTCCTCAATTCCCATTTCTTCCTTGTTTTAGCGTTTGTCATAAAGTTTCATTTTATGTTTTCTGTGTTAGGTCACCAGGCAACAGGAACTGGGCAACAGTCTACGGGGATTGGACACCAGGCAATATCAGTTAGCCATCCAGCAACAGGAATGGGTCATCAGGCCAGAGGACTGAGCCTACAGGCAAACTACCTAGGACTGGCATCCACCTCTGCAATTATGAGTTACGCTGAATGCTCTGTCCCAATGACAGTGACTTCTCCCACATTGCAGCCAGTCCAGGCCCGAGGTGCTGTGCCTGCCACTGCTGTTATAGAACCGCCGCCACCGCCACCACCTCCTGCTCCTGCAACACCACCACCAGCTCCCAAAATGCCGCCACCTGAGAAGACAAAAAAAGGAAAGAAAGATAAGGTATAGTAATCTCCCTTTATTTTATTTTTTTTAAAGATTGTATTTATTTATTTTTAGAGAGAAGGGAAGGGAGGGAGAGAGGGAAAGAAACATCAGTGTGTGGTTGCCTCTCGTATGCCCCCTACTGGGGACCTGGCCCACAACCCAGGCATGTGCCCTGACTGGGAATTGAACTGGCAACCCTTTACTTCGCAGTCCGGTGCTCAATCCACTAAGCCACACCCAGCCAGGGGTGACTCTCCCTTTAAATTAAAAAAAATTATTTAAAAACATTATTATTGAGGTAATAATCATGCAAAATTAACCATTTTAAGGTATACAGTTCAGTAGCATTTACTAGGTTTATAGTGTGCAGGCACCGCCTCTCTCTAGTTACGTAACACTTTCATCACCTCAGCAGAAAACCTTGTAGCCATTAAGCAGTCTTTCCCCATCACCCTCTTATCCCCAGCCTCTGAGAACCATAAATCTGCTTTCCGTCTCTGTGGATTTACGTATCCTGGAACCATGAGTGTGTAAACTTTTATGTCTGGCTTCCTTTACTTCGCACAGTGTTATCAAAGTTATTATCCATGTTGTATCATGTATTGCTATTTCATTCCATTTTATAGCTTAGCAATAGTTCATTATATACACCACAGATTGTTTATCCCTTCATCCATTGATGGACATTTGTATTGTTTTAACCCTTCTGGTTATTACAAATAGTACTGATATGAATATGCATGTAAGTATTCGTTTTCATTTATATATTGAGTATTTCTTTTAATTTCTTCGGGGTATATAGGAATAAAATTGCTGGGTCATATGATAATTCTGTATTTAACTTTTTGAGGAACTGCCAAAGTTTTTCTACAGAAACTGAACCCATTTTACATTACCCACAGCAATGTACAAGGGTTCCAATATCTCTGAATGTTCACCAACACTTGTGATTTTCATTTTCATTGTTAAAATTTTTTTAAATTTTTTTCTTTTTTAAATTTATTGATTATGCTTTAAGTTGTCCCAGTTTTTCCCTTTGTCACCCTCTGACCAGTACCACCATTCCCTCCAGCAGCCCACCATCATTAGTTCATGTCCATGGGTCCTGCATATAAGTTCTTTGGCTTCTCCGTTTCCTGTGCTGTTTTTTTTTTTTCTTTTTTTCTTCTTTTTCTTTTTTTTAATTTATTTTATTTATTTTTAGAGAAGGGAAGGGAGGGAGAGGGAGAAAAACATCAATGTGTGGTTACATCTTGTGCGCCCCCTACCCCTACCAGGGGCTTGGCCTGCAACCCAGGCGTGTGCCCTGACTGTGAATCAAACTGCTGACTCTTTGGTTCGCGGGCTGGCACTCAATCCACTGAGCCACACCAGTCAGGGCTCTTGGGCTGTTCTTAACATCCCTCTGTCTATTTTGTACTTAACAATTTGTACTTACTAATCCCTGCACCTTTTCCCCCATTCTTCCTTTTTCCTCTCTTCTCCCCTTTTCCCCTCCCAGTTGATAACCCTCCAAATGATCTCCATATCTATGATTCTGTTTCTGTTCTGCTTATTTACTTAGTTTTTTTAGATTCAGTCTTTGATAGTTGTGAATTTGTCGCCATTTTAACGTTCATAGTTTTGATCTTCTTTTGCTTATGTAGTTCCCTTTAACGTTTCACATAATAATGGCTTGCTGATGATGAACTCCTTTAGGTTTTACCTTGCCTGGGAAGCACTTTAACTGCCCCTCAATTCTAAATGATAGCTTTGCTGGATAAAGTAATCTAGGTTGTAAGTCCTTACTTTTCATCACTTGGACTACTTCTTGCCAGTCTCTTGTAGCCTGTAATATTTCTTGTGAGAAATCAGCCAACAGTCTTAGGGGAAATCCTCTGTAGGTAACTCTCTGCTTTTCTCTTGCTGCTTTTAAGATTCACTCTTTATCTTTAACCTTTGGCATTTTAATTATGATGGGTCTTGGTGTGGTCCTCTGTGGATCCAACTTGTTTGGGACTCTGTGCTTCCTGGACTTGTATGTCTATTTCCTTTGCCAGTTAGGGAAGTTTTCTTCCATTTTTTCAAATAAGTTGTCGATTTCTTGCTCTTCTTCTTCCTTTGGCACCCCTATGATTCAGATGTTGGTGTATTTGCACATGTCCCAGAAGCTCCTTATTCTGTTCTTGTCTTTTTGAATTTTTTCTTCTTGCTGTTCTGATCGAATGCTTTTTTTTCTTCCTTATGTTCCAAATCATTGATTTGAATCTTGGCTTCATTCCCTCTGCTGTTGGTTCCCTGTGGATTTTTCTGTATTTCACTTAATGCCACCTTCATTTCTGCCTAAGTCTTTTTTATGCGGTTGCAGTACTCAATGACTTCTTTGAGCATCCTGATAGCCAGTACTTTGAACTCTGCATCTGATAGGTTGTTTATCTCCATTTTAGTTCTTTTTCTGGAGTTTTGTTCTGTTCTTTCATTTGGGCCATATTTCTTTGTCTCCTCATTTTGTCAGCCTCCCTGTGTTTGTTTCTGTGTACTAGGTAGAGCTGCTTTGACTCCCTCTTTAGTAGAGTGGCCTATTGTAGGAAAGGCCATCTGTCTGGATGACTGTGGCTTCTTTAAATCCTTATTTGTCAGACTTTCACATAGCTCGACGTTCTGACGAATGTGGGTGAAATTTGTTTTGTAGACTAGTTGTAATTTTTTTCTATAATTGTACATGGAGGCAAAATGTGTTTACCTGTGCCTCCATCTTGGCCCAGCTGTCATTGAAAGTGTATTGCTTTGGAGGCTGGTAGCCAGTTAACTTGTCACCTGATCTTCATACGCAAAAGGCCTACATTCCACTGGTCTGTGAGACCTCCTCACCCTCTTTAATATTCTTTCCTTGACCCCTAAACCCCTGCCCTTACTTCTTAGGCAGAAGATACACATTGAGCACCACATGCCCTTCTTCCTTTCTTTTCTTTTTTTCTTTTTTTACATTACCTTTATGCTTTAAGTTGTCCCAGTTTTAATCCTCGTAGTAGTGATCGTCCATTTTTTAAGAAAATTATTATACCAATCCTAATGGCCATGAAGTGACATCTTACCATGGTTTTGATTTCTATTTCTGTAGTAATTAATCTTGGTACACATCTTTTAATTTCCTTGTTAACCATTCGTGTATCTTTGGAGAAATGTCAGCTTAAGTCCCTTGTTCATTTTTTAACTGGGTTGTTTGTCTTTTGTTACTGAATTGTAAGAGTTCCATATATGGTATAGGTTAGGGTCTCTTATAAGTTATATGATTTGTAAGTATTTTATCCCACACTGTGGGTTGCCTTTTCATTCTGAGAGTATCCTTTGGTATGCCAAAGTTTTTTATTTTGATAAAGTCCATCTTACTGTTTTTCTCAGTTTTGCTTGTGCTTTTTGTGTTACATAAGAATCCGTTGCCAAATCCAAGGTCATGAACATTTACCTCTCTTCCAAGAGTTGAATAGTTGTTACTATTTTAATTTTTATGAGTTTATACTGAGCCAAATGCATGACATATGGGAAGCAAGATCCCAGATACTCTGCCTTGTACAGTTTTAACACTTAGATTTAGGTTGTTAGATATAGGATTAGATTTTAGTTGTTAGGTAAAGAGTTAAATTTCATTCTTTTGAATGTGGATAATCTTTTGTCTTAGCACCATTTTTTGAAAAGACCATTATTCCTCCATTGAATAGAAGACCTTCTCTAAAATCAATTTACCATGAATGTATGGGTTTATTTCTGGACTTTAAATCTATTCCATTGGTCTCTATGCCAGTGCCACAGTGTTTTGATTGCTATAGCTTTGTAATATGTTTTGAAATTAAGAAGTACTTTTTCATCCTGGCTGATGAGGCTCAGTGGATTGTGTGCCAGCCTGAAGACTGAAAGGTTGCCAGTTCAGTTCCTGGTCTGCGCACATGCCAGGGTGTTGGGCCAGGTCCTCAGTTTGGGATGTGAGATGGACAGCCAGTTGTTGTTCCTCCTGCACATGTTTCTCTCCCTCTCTGTCTCCCTCCTTTCCCTTCTCTGTAAAGATAAATAAATAAAATCTTTAATAATATTTTTTTTTTAAAGTACTTCTTCAACATTGGCTATTCTGGACCTTCAGTCCAAAGGACCTGTGCTTCAATCTCCATTACCTTTGAAAATGCCACCCTGGCCACCTCTGCCCTTACCATTTTATATGAATTTAAAAGTCAAATTTTTCATTTCTGTATAAAAGGCCAGTGTGATTTTAATTGGGGTTACATTTAATCTGTAGATTGTTTTGGTCCTGTTGTCATCTTAACTGTATTGTGTGAATTTTTCACTCCATGAATACAGGACTCCTTTTTATTTATTTAGGGTTCTTAATTAATTTTAGCAATATTTTTATAATTTTCAGTGTACAAGTCTTTTTACCTCCTAGGCTAAATTTATTCTCAGGTATATTATTCTTTTGGATGCTATCATAAGTAGTATTGTTTTAATATAGTTGGATTTACTCTTTTATCACATAATGTCTTCTTTTATAACTTTTAGATTTATAGTCTTATTTTGTCTTATGTTATTATTGATATTCCTCCTTTCTCTTGATTACTGTTTGCATGGAATATATTTTTCTGTCCTTTCACTTTAAATCTGTGTCTTAATTACTGATAGATAAGGACTTGCTATTGCCATTTTTGTTACTTGTTTTGTGTATGTCTTAATAGCTTTTTGTCCATTTTCTTCCTTACTGTCCTCCTTTGTCTTTCGTTGATTTTTTTCAGTGACACGTTTTGATTCCCTTCTTATTTCCTTTATGTACATTCTATATTTGTGGTTACCATAGGAATTTAATAGAATATGCTAAAGTTATATTGTTGGTGTTACAAATTACATCTTTATATACTGTGTACTTGTAACATTTATAAATTTTTATGCTTTTGTCTTTTAGATTCTGTAGAATTGCCTACTAAAATCACAATAATGTTTATTTGTCTCTATCTTTGCTAGAGAATTTTACATTTTTGTATGACAAGTTATTA